CAGTTTGTGGGCTCCCGGTCTCGCCGTGCTACGCCTCTACGCCGCTACGCTTATTAACACCATACCTGTTCATTGTAACGCATCTGCGTTAATTGTTATTGTTTAGCTTGATTGATAAATATAATTTTAATGATTTATTAAATAAACAAGCCTTTGCCCGCGACTTCGTCCACACAATATTAAGATAAAAAAGTATATTATGCCCGTCTATGTCAGCTACCCTTCAGTGCAAGTCCGCTCGAAATTGGTCTAACCGTTTCAGAGATTACCCGGAATGGAATAAACGCGGCTTGTGGATAGACAGACAGAAAAATGTAAATGCGATTTTCGTTATCAGCAACGCAAATACATTTTCCCGAAATTGGAATTCCCTGGAATTATTCTTTTGATATTACAAACAGACACTCCAATTTAATTATATGTATAGATTTAAAGTTAAAAAAATACAGACGTCATTTTTCTTTTATGCCAAATTAACTAAGTATACATTTCGTTTAATTGTAAGTTTATCTCGAAATTCCGTCTTTCATATTAATCTATCCCTAAAGAAGTAAAAGTCCAATAGTAAAAATTAAAATCTACTAAATATTATTATGATCCATTGATTTTTGTCAATCAGTTAACCTTATGACCCGTGCGTATCGGAGACACAAGGCCAGCGCCGGCGACGTATCTTGAGGCAGACTTCAATTAATTTAACTAGTAATTTGTACTGCGGTCAACTTCCCACGCTGATGGTATACATTCCATACCACAGGCCATTTATATCACTGATTTCATTGTAAAGGATGAACTACGAAACCCTTTAATCTAACCTCTTAATGTAATTTATTACAAGAATATATAAAAATTGCATTATGAATATAAAAACATGTTAATCTATGCTAAAATTATAAAGAAAAAATTGTATTTTTGTATTTAAAATAATAATGGCCGATTTTAAAAACTCTTTCACCGTTAGTAAATTAATTTATCTGTGAGTAACATATAGGTTATATTTTTCTTGATCTCGAAATTTCATGCAGACGAAGTCGCGAGCAACAGCTAGTTTTCATACAAGGATGTAGTAAGTCTGCTGGATAGTTATTTTTACATTTCTCTATTTTACCGAACCTGTTAGACCTTTTGTCGACTGTTAATACTGGCTTTAAATATTATTATCAACTTTCGTATACAAGTCTTGTTCTGTTATTATTATTTTAATTTGTAGAAATATAAAACTTGTTTCTGAAAAATACATGCATCTTTCATTATAGATAAATTCCAAATTTGTACGCTCTCAATCATAAAATACGAATAGACGACACTTATGTACGTTTGTAACCTAACTACTTAAATTAAATTAATTTTACCAATAGGAAGAATGTTTGCAAAAACCGTTCTCCAAAAGTTACTACATTTAAGCGACATCTAGTGGTTGCTTGTATAACTAAAAGTTTATTTGAAATGTATCTACATTAGATATCCTATCAATACTAAATTATTTTAAACTCTGAAGCTATAAAGCTAAACTTCATTAAACAATTAAATTAATTAATTGACATGAAATGATTTTCTTTTGTATTTTTGACTAAAGCGCCATCTTGTGCATAATTTTCAACTGTTATCCTGTTAAAGCGCCATCTTTTGTAACAATTTGTAAAAAAGGCATATTTTTTTGTTGTATACATAGCTATTTCTAATAGATGTCGCTACAGGTATTAAATTTAGATTTCAGTAACATTTATCGGTTGATATTAAACTTATAATAATGTGCAGATTATTCTTGTATTGTTCTGATTCAATAAATTAATATTGCCACTTTATTTTATTTTTTGTTTTGTCAATTTCATTGTGATCAGTGGGGCGGGGGCCTGGGATCCATCACACAGGGCGCTATCTTAATTTGGACACCAGTTACCCAAAAGGGTAATCATTTTTATAAAATTATTAATGCCTTGTTAATCACCTGTCTCTTCCGCCGACCACCAATCAGTTTGCGTTAAATAATAATGGTAGATGAAGTTGGGGTTTTCAGCAAATACAAAATCCATTCACAATTTTAGAGCACTATTTTACCAATGATGTCATTTGTCATATTCATTCTCGTTCCTGCACAAGAACCAGAACAGGTTTTCCTTTTGACATTTGTATGTCATTTATATGTATTTATGTTAATAAAGTAGAATTTCCTGGCATATAGAATTTGTAATTATTTAATAAGCATAATATCAAATACTAATTTTAAATTATTTTTACGTAAACTGCACTAAGTTACTGACTTAAACTATTTAAGTACTCTCCGTGCATCAGTTCTATATTTATGTCACATTTAACAAATCAATCGATAAACAATAAATAACCTGAACATTTCCGGCGCTAAATCTTCATAGAGCCGCGGCTATTATTATTCGTATCTACGCTCAGAGACGCTCAGTATCCAAATTAAATAAAGACGTCATTCAATATTTTGATGGAAAGTGCCGCGGCTGAGACGTCTATCACTGCGCACATTACTCTACGTAGATCATAGTGAAACCATACGTTAAATGTTTCATGGACTTATTAATAATATTGAATTTATATAATAGAAATAGATATAAGTAGATAGTATAAGGCAAAAGGAAATTCTACAAGACATTGTAGAAAATAAGAATGAAATATCTACTTCATGAAGAAAACCCAAAAGTCATATATTCCCTGTCAAGTTATCAACTCAAAGTAGTTAGTATCTTACTTTCAAGCTGTATCGTTTCTTGATTCCTGAGGTTCGCGATCTCTCTTCTTGACCATCTCTCGAAGAGTATTTCTCCACTCTGCGTATTTTTCTGCGGCGTCGATGCCGTTATGAGTAGCGGTGTTAAGTTGAGCATATCTGATGTGTATCCTCTCGATTCCATTACAAACCTTTAAAAAGAAAACAGATTTCAATTTCTTTTCTAGAACAAACTTTTGTTACTAAAGTGATTAAAGAACCATGTCTAACTTAATCTGTTTCAATATTCTAAAGTATAAAGCAATGAAGAACTCTTATTTGTTATGCAAATTATTGAGCACTTTGCAAACATCCTCGTTTTTTGTTTCAAAACGTGGTCACACTAATGTGAGTACATTAACATTATCAGTTATTATGTCGCACATACTAACTACGTAAGCACATTGTATTAATCTTTATGGTTTTAAAACACTAGCTGTTGCTCGCGACTTCGTCCGCGTGAAATTAAAAATAATGAAAACCGTAGCCTATGTTACTGACTGATAACGTAGCGTTGTAATGGTGTTAGAATTTTTGAAATCGACCCAGTCGTTTTTGAGTTATTTCAACACATACAAAAATTAACAGTGGTAGTGCCCGCTTTAACATCTTAGCACGAATAGGCCGGCACGCCCGGTGTAATACCACGACCACACAGAAGACAGGCGTGAAATGGAAGCAATTCCGTGTTTCGTCTGATTAGTGTGGTGCCGGAGGCCTAATTTAAGTCCCTTTCTCTTTATCACCCTTTTCTTATAAGGACAGGTTGAGAAGGGGAAGTGGATTTGACGGTGGAGGAGATGCATAGAAAGGGGAAATATCCTCTTTATGTGCGTCTCCTCCTCCGTCGTATAAGGGTAGGCAACGCATTTGCAATTGCGGATGTCTATGGGCAGTGATTGCTTCGCCATTTTGGCGGTTTCAGGTGGCGGCTTGCTCGTTTGCCACCTTATATTATATAAAAAATTATATACGTACAATGAATGTAGCATAAATACATCTTAAAATACTTAAATGTTTAATAAATTATTTACTTGTTATTGTTAACTTTTATCTGTCTAAATTATAAAACAATAGCTTTAGACCTCGACTCCGTCCGAGCGGAATTAAACAAAAATTTAATTAGTAGTCTATGTGTTCTTCCAGACTCTACATCTATGCCAAATTTCACCAAGATCCGTTTAACAGTTTAGGCTGTAAACTCTAACAAACATCCAATCATCTAAACTTTCGCCTTTAATATTAGTAAGATTGTTTTGTTCTTTTATTTACAACTAGAAAATAGTTTCAATAGTTTTTATACAATGTTTCAGCATTGAAATTAAACGTTTAGAATCATCTAAATCCTTCCCGGCGGTATTCGCCCGGCTGTCGTGTTTACAACAACAAATCAAGTAAAGTCTCACGATCTCTGCTCGTGTTTTGTCTCACGGCACAACCGAATTATTACAGCTTTGTTTTTGCGATTTGTAAGCGGAAACTCTCTTCAACACTTTTGTCTAAGAAATTCTTACCACTTTATCTAGATGTCACACAGAAAGTCCTTAAAACCAAAAACGCCTGTGTAATGTGCTCATGTTACACTATTACTTTCCTTTGTTATATGTACAAAAACATATGCCATCTCTGTTCTTATCATTCAAAAAAAGAGATAACAACAAATTATCATATTTTCCAGCAACACTCCTTGCGTCAGCATCCGCGGTTGTAAAATAATTGCAATTTTCCCAACCGTCACCCCACTCTGTAGCCACGTGGGGACAGATGGGAGTAAAAAGTTCATCCGTTCCACTGTCACCAATTAGGTGACAGATTAGATCGCATAAGGTGGGCCGAATGAAACTTATTATTCTCATCTGTCCCCACGTGGAGACAGAACGAAATGACGGTTGGGAGTAATAATCTAAATAACGGATAAAGAAACCCAAACATACTACAATAATAACCTACTAAAGAGGGCGGTAGTCTATTGCATTTATCGTGATAAAATAAAGGAGTGTAAAACAAAAAATCTATTAAAATCACCCATTTACTAAATTCCCAGTGAAAGATTATTCCCGTGAACTGAAGTAATGCATCGTTCTCAGGGCAGTGTACACATCTCTGAGAATGTTTTAGCGTAGCGTAGCGCATGTGAATATAAGACGGAAGTATCATCTCACTAAATTATAATAAATCAACCCTTTTTGCTGGCAAAAGGGGCTCTTTCGCTGTCTATGATTCTAGGGAATCAAGGTCACTCAATCAGAGGAGACATGATTTATGTTCACACAGTAAACATAGGTCAAACACACGTGTATATGCATTCTTACAAACAGGGCTTATTGTGCCATCAAAAAAATTCGATTCTATTCAAAAATTGGCATAGGAACTGAAAAAACAAAAGAATTTGAAAAAATATTGGTTACCCACAACATAACTATCTAAAATTTGCGTGCCCCAATATTAGTGTTTCGAAAGTTGATCTTCATATAAATACAATTGAAAAACATTACCCCTTTGTCTAAAAAAACTATATCTTGATGATATAACGTTTTAAGCAACGCAATGTTTATCAATATCAACCTAGATTTGTTTCACAGTGAATTGAAAAGTATCAAATTGCGTCAGTCGTCGTAACTTCAATATTTGTCGCGTAACATTACACTTTTTTATTAAAATAACTAGCTTTCGCCCGCGACTTCGTCCGCGTGGAAATAAATAAAAACAAAAGTAAAGCCTATGTGTTCTTCCAGACTGTCATCTGTAACTATGCCAAATTTCATTCAGATCCGTTCAGCCATTGAGGCTACAAACTTTAACAAACATCCATCCATCTAAACTTTCGCATTTATAATGTTAGTTAGATTACTTTTATTATTCTGTTATATTGTAGTCGATAAATTTGCGTAATGCGGTCCAGTTATGAACTGACCTTAGTGTTGGCGATGCAATTAGCCTTCTTTTAGATATATTTTTGCTTTTTATAGATTTTCAAAATTAGAATATAAGTTATTAAATTTTATTCTTTTTGTAAACATCATTAATTTTTTCAATAAATCTTCCAACGTTGTAAGGCTGCATATATGTGTTTTCGCTTTTTTATATAAGTGTTCGTTTTGTTTTTTTTTGTTTTTTACACATTCTCCGCGCGCCCCTTGTTTGTATCCTTTTTACTTAGTATACATTTCTCGTAATAAATCTACTACGAGTGCCAATGTTATGTTAAAGATATTACGAGACAAAAATGTTATAACGTTAGTCATTTTCTAATTCTTAACTGTAGTTATACTCAATGTCACATCAAATGGATTAATCAACCATATAAAGTAAAAAGACCATGAAAATCTGCAAAAAATATGGTATCACACCCCCACGCATTCATAATGTTGTGATGTCGAGTCATAATGTTTGTAGGTCTAGGTCGAGACTGACAAATTTGCATTAAAACAAGCGATTTTAATCATTTTCCTTAATAACATTTATATCATTAAGACATTGAAAAACTGATTTAACGACCTTCAGATTTTCCCTTAATTATACAGAGATAGCTTTTGCTTGCGACTGCGTCCGCGCGGAATTAAAAATAAAAACAAATGCAAGTAGCCTATGTGTTCTTCCAAACTATCCTCTACATCTGTGCCAAATTTCATCGAAATTCGTTCAACCGTTTAGGCTACAAACTCTAACAAACATCCATCCATCCAAACTTTCGCATTTAGAATATTAATATGATAAGTATGATTTCGATCGGTGGCTAAAGATCTTGTTTAGGGGAGTAAAATTTAACTGTTTATGTAACAGTTAAATAACCTCCAAAATAGTCACCAATTGGTGCTTAGAATTACATTAAAATTGACGAAAAATTAGTACACTATAGAATGGAATTTATGAAAGAAGAAATATGTAGGGAGTGAACTTAGATGTATCGATTGATAGAGATATACGGAAGAGTTGATAGGCGACCCCTATCAAGAAAAAGGGAGGGAAGATAATAGTGTACTATAAATTACAGGTAGCGTGTACTGGTGGGTGTCGTTAATAGCCGTGTGTTCGGCTGACACATGGCGCTTCCCAGAGAAGACAGCGAGAGCGGCGCGCATCGAGTCCAAAGTAAAGTTCAGCGAGCCCCCTATCAACAGTAATCAAAACTTCCTACCTAACAGGTAACTTAGTAACTTATTTTTCTTGCCTTTTACGTTATGCTGACAAGGGAAGGTCAGTGACCAATACGCGAACGCATTAAACATGTAACAGATAAGATAAAGATAGAAAGGGCAAAATCTTTTACTTTATATAATTGCCTAGATACGGTATTGATACGGTATTGTAAAATATTTTGAAGCTATATTTTAAAAGTATTTTCGTAAAGACATCTTTGTTTAAGAATTTACATGATTTCATGAATTCATATTAAAATTATTTCCAAAATAATAAATAGACAATGATTCAACTCGTCAATTACAATTGTTCTAATCGTTATACAATATTAACTAAAACACAGCAATGTTAAATATTTTGTTTTCAAATATGTTGAATATAATAAAAAATATTATAAAACTGTAAGCCTAAGTATAAATTACGGGTAAATGTTTATCCAAATCAACATAAAACGATTATCATAGATCTGTGTCTATAGATTAAAAAATGCTTCAAACAATACTCTGAATACTTCATCATGATCACCCTGCCTTATCCTACTCCCGTAGGGTCGGCGCACCGGGTTTTCGTCATCCAAATAACTCTTTCATCCCTCATCGCAGTCATCACTCCTTTCTTGATCCTCTTCTCCATCTCTTTCTAGGTCTACCTCTAACGTCCGTCTTGTTACATGCGATTCATCCCTTCTTATAACATGCCCATAAAATACCTTTTACTCCGTATATTCTTAACCATTGAGGCTACTCTCAAACTTCCTCTAATAAACTCATTTCGTATCTTATCCCATCGTGTACTCTGAATACTTAAATATCAGTATTAAAACAAAGAACGGAAACTAAAACTAAGATCGAGTTTCCTGCAGATCTCAAATCCTTGACCTCGTTAATATAATTGTATTGTAATACGATTTCCCACAATAAATTATGCTGTCATGGATCCTTATTAGTGTAATTATTTTACAAGCAACTCAACGCACTCTAGCGGACGCTTTCGAAACCTTGGTTTGGACACGATTGGGTTTTACCAGTATTGTTTTCGATACAATAGCCAGTTATCTTCTTGAATTACGAAATCGTATCCGATTCTATATCCAAATTTTTATAGGCGGCTCTGTGCTGCCCTCTCGTTCCCCTAACACATTCTTAGTCAGGGACTTAGGGAGAAAAAGTTTATGTCCCAATTTTAAGAAATACCACTATTTTAGAACTTTTGGCAATTCTCGTGTAAATTTTGAAATTTACTATACACAAATATTATAAAGAAGGGAAGATTTGGTTATTTTTTACATTGTATAAGCTCAGAAACTACTGAATCGATGTCAAATTTTCTTTCACACCTAGAAAGCTACATTATTGAGTAACATTGGAAGGATATAAACATCTTCCTTTTCTATATAAAATTCTTATTTTAATTCAATATGACGTTAAATAATTAGTTTGAGAAATAACCATCACAGTTTCGTAAAGTATTAAAACTTATTTTTTTTAAATAGTAGTGTACAAATCTTGAACTGTACTTATTAAATACATGAAAGTAACTAAGCCAAAACTATAACGAAATATTACGTTCTTGATAATGCAATCCATTGGGGAATCCCCAACCACTCTCTGGTCAAAGTAACGACTGTTACTAGTTGCTACATTGGTGTGTCAGGGTCTTTAATTAAAAGAAACCTGCTCCAAAAGTATGAAGAAACTACTGATTTATTAACATTTTAAGTGCACCATTGAATTTCGTTTCTGTCTCGCATTAAAACCTGTTACCCGACGAAATTACACACGCATACTTATTCAGTTATTAATGAAACTATTGTTATTTATTTTATTATTAGCTGTTGCCCGCGACTTCGTCCGCGTGGTATTAGAAAACATACGAACTATAGAAATAACAAAAAGCTACGTATCCCTCCGGAACCGGACATTTCTCGGTGATGAACCTTATCCCCTGTGTACTCCAAACTTTGTTCCAAATTTCAATAAATAAAAAACAACTGAAAACAATTATAATTCTCCAGCTGCTTGTTATAGAAGTATTTTTGTATTCCAGAGGGAATATCCCGAACAATGCAGTGCCGAATGATTTAATAGACCAAGCGGCGTCCCAGAACTTCTACTATCAGCCGGGCGGCGGGCACTACGGGGACGTGGTCCGACCACCGCAAGGGAAGAAGGTACCCTTTCTCATGCACCAGACCACGGAGAAACAAATATTCGATAAACCCGTGTAAGTGAATATGTATTTAAATATACAAATGTCCTCTGAGTAAAAACCTTTTTTTTTATAATACGAGGTGGCAAACGAGCAAGCGGCCACCTGAATCCACCGATATGAAAAGCGACCGCTGGCCATAAACATCCGCGATTGCAGATGCGTTGCCTACCCTAATTGACGGAGGAGGAGACGCACATAAAGAGGACATTTCCCCTTCCTATGCGTCTCCACCGTCAAGTCCACTTAATTTGGAATATCTAGAGCCGGCGTTAAGGTATAACGACTGCCCAGGGCGTATAGAGCGCCACAAGTCTGTGAATTCAGAAAACACAGTATCACATAGTGGGAGTCCCCCCTAAAAGCGCTAAATAGGGGGCACCGCTGAAATGTTGCTCAGTGCGTTAGTAAGGCTAAAATTGGTGCTAAGAGACTTGTACTAAAAATAAAACAAAATGCACTAAAAACAAAACAAAATACACCAAAAACAAAATATTCTCAAAAAAAACAGTACACTAAAAAGTAACGAAAT